ATTATAGCAAAGGAATTCTTGACCTACCATATAATCGTAGAAAGCTATAGTAATTAAACACAAAGTAATTTGTGATGGGAGGACAAATCAATACAGCTGGAAAAGAAGTCCAGAAACACAACATCTCAAAATATATTAACTATTTGACATATGGTCAAGTTAGAACATACTTTCTGGAAAGTCCTTTGGCAATACTGATTAGGCATCTTAAATGTTCATACTCTTACCCTTAGTAATTCTAGACATTTATGCTACAGAAATAAGTAAATGTGGAAAAAGTTTTATTCAAAGGTGTCTCTTGTATCTTTATTTATTATCAAAATAAATGTGGAGGCAACCTAAAATTTCCACGATACAGAATTACATAGAACAATATACTATTACATAATTAAAAAGAAAACATAATATAGAGACACAAGAGACAAAAGCCAAATTAAAGAAATTAAAGCAGGGGACTATCATGTCAAAATTTCAGTTAAAAAGAGAAAAAGAGAAGGAATATAAGATCAGATAGGAATATAACAAAATATCTGCAGTTGTTACCACTGGGCTTTTTAAAATTTTAATTTTCTAGATTTTTTAATATATATCATCTGAATAAACATCATTCAAATAAAATAAGTGCTTGATATTTTTTAAGTTCTCACAGAGAGGGCTTCCTTCTATATGGCACAAGATCTCTTACTCCACACTACAATGTTCATGTCATATGACTTGTGCTTCTGAGTTTAGTTTCAGGCAAGAAGCCAAAACCTTTTGTGCCGTTTGGTCAAGCATGCACTGAACTTACCATTCTCTGTGTTTTAATATTGTGTATAAGGTGACACCAATCAAGAATACAAGAAGAAGTGAACCTGCAGAAAGACCTAGAAAACAAAACAGCAAGTATCAAATGCCAGACAATTGTGACCTATGTTGTTTTGAAGTAATTGTGGGGCTATTCCTAGTGGTGGGGAAATTGTTATGGGACTTTATACTTATCCTTTGTTAGCCATATAATGTTACATTCCTAAATAATCATACTTGGGCTTAATTTTTTTCCGATTCAATCCAGTCCACCTTTAATCTAAAGCACCAAGCATTTGACCACAGGGCTCCAGTCAAGTTTCTGTTGAACTTTTCTGTTTCTTTCAATTTAATTAATAATATTCTTGTTACTGGGGTGATATTAGGAGCTCAGGACACAAGGTTCCCACGACTTGGCATAACAACATTTAATTCTCAGTTGGAAAATATATTTTGCTGTTGCAGAATAAGTCAGCCTGTTTGATAGTACCAAATCATGCAAAAGATCAAAAGTTAATATAAACTCAACTTTCAATAGAAAAACTGGGAATAGTTGGCTTTTTAAATTATTTATTCAACTCTATCCAAAAGTGTCAGCTTGTAATATGAAGTACGTATTAAAAGAGCTTTAAGACACCAAAAAGGATAATTTCCTAGGAGTTAAAGTGAAAAACGAAAATAACAGGCAGGATATAGGGCCTCAAATTTCATGTGTGTGTGTGTATATATATATATATATATATATATATATATGTATATATATATATATGTATATATATATATATTTTCTAAAACATCATTAGAAATTTAATTCAAATATTTAAGAAAACTTACCACTAAGAAGAGGAGCAAGTGAAGCTAAGGAGAATACAAAATCACAAAAATATTAGTCTAGTTGCATACTTCAGTGCAGCCCAAAGTCCCATGGTAATATCCCCAAAGATAACACTCAGCTCCTTTCTCTCAAAATCTACTTAAAAAGATGTATTGGGACCCTGCATTGTATGCACTCTTCCTTCATTTTTTATGTAACAATTCACTGGATGTTTAAAAAAATAACACAGTAAGTTGGGGTAGTTCATGAATGAAAAAAGCCAATATACTCAACTTTATAATCAGAGATTTCTCAGGCTAGAATGCAAGTAGTAACTGTTACAATAGGTTGTTCAGCATATTTTTTGGAGGTCCCTGTCAAATTGGTTAAGTACTTATAAATCCAAGATTCAGCAAGAGAAATCTCAGTAACAACTCCTTTCAAAATGTAAGGTTGTTAGTTCTGCATCTTGTAGGTTGGTACTCCTCTCCCTTTATTTTCTTCTTTACTTCCCTCATCCTCAGAAAGTTTTGCTTTTTCTAGAATAGACCACTAACTTCAAATTCGTCTGTTACTGTAGCACTGGTCACAGACCCACATCAATTTAAAACCTAGAAGTCCCTAACATTGATGGATACTCCTCACTCTTCTTCTCTCCAGTGAGACAAGTATGAGCACAGTAGCCTTTTGCTGTTACCCGGTGATTTGCAGACAGCCAGGGGCGGGTTCCATCCCTGATCATCCTGACACTGGCTCTGGGGACTGCCTTCCAGGGTATAACCCTCTTCACACTCCAAAGTGACGATCACACCATACTGATACATTTTCCCAGGCTCCAGCCCCTTCTGGATTCCATTCATATACTCTGGGGAGCTACAGTTTACCTCTGAAATGAAAGAAAGCTCATTGAAGCTGGGTCATATTTTAGCCTTTTCTCAAGGAAGTAGATACTGCCCTGAATGGAAAGGTTTACGAAACCAACTTGGTTCATTCTCAGTAAGGAAAGCCTCTGTGTCAACCATCCATCTCAATTACCTCTAGGTAATTTAAGCCAGATTATTTTCCTTCTTTGGGCTTTAGTTTCTAAACTAATAATGTTGGATAATTTTAATGGCCTCTTAGAGAAATGGTAAAGGCTGAATGGGTGATATTAAGAATTCTTAATGACTGTTTCATCTGTTCCACTGTTATTCTATAATTGTCCATATGGAACATACTTCCTCATTTCTCCTTTCATCTCACACCATAGGGGGCAATAGCGGGAGGTTTGGGATTTGAATCATGACTCTAGGACTTCCCAGCTATGTGACTTTGGGTCGGTTACAAATCTCTCCACTCTACCGAGACCTCATCTGTCATATAGGAATAATAATGGCACCAACTTCATCTGGTTCTCAGGAAGATTAATGAGATAACGCACGTAAGATGTTATGCGCAATTTCTGGCATTTAGTAAAAAGTGCTTGACAAATATTAGATATTAGCTCACTCTTCCTATTTCATATGCAGTGTTTATGTTAATGAAAATGAAATTCTGAAGCTTTTATAAAAAAATATACCCCTAATTCCACCACCACGTAGAGGAAATATACTGACATGATCATGTGCTTTTTATCAGTATTTTGTCAAATGCACTCTTATCATAACTACAACCACAGGTTAATTCAACCTGCACTTTAGTTGTTTAATTGGTATAAGTACTTCAATTTTCTATATTTAAAGGGCTACATAAGTGATCACCCCTCAGATAAGAAAAAAATGACTTAGGGTGTAGCTTATTTTGTGGTATTTAGACTAATTAATGTATTCATCCAATTGAATCAATCCAATGAAATGCATTTAATTAAATGATCCAATTAATGCATTTATTTGGTTATTTTAAGTTGAAATACCTAACTGAATATCTATTTCAGAGACAGTTGAATAAAAAAAACCAGGAGAATAATAGACACCACACCTTTACAATAAGGGGCAGATTGGCTCCAGGTTCCCTCATGTGTGCAAAGAAGGAGTGCTTCTCCCACAAGCAGGTAGCCTTGGTCACAGCTGTATAGGATTGACATTCCAGGAGAAAATCGAACTATATCTCCACCGGTATGATTCCCGTTGGGTATCTTAAGTGGAGGTTGACATCCTAAGGAAGCTTAGACACCAATAAAAAAGGATCTTTAATTTAGCACAAAGGAACATATAGCCAACACTATCTGTGGGTGACAGCAATACTGAAAGAAGGTAGGAAACAAGCCAACTAATTGGTAACAAGAAATATTCATTCCACCTAAACCAAGTAGCACTGGACAGAAATTTGCATCACCTACATATATCATATGAGATCTGAAGAAATGTCAAAAGTAGCATAATGAAACATCAATGGTCGTGGCCCACGATTGTAATCTATCAGGTAATAGTATTCTTTTCTTTTCCCTTTCAATAGCGAAGGGGTATAGTTTAGGGGTCTTACACTCCAATGCCTTCTGGAACCAGGAAGTGAAGCCACCAGATATGACAAATCAGAGAGCATCTGTCCTAAAAATGACATCCATTGCCTGGTTCAAGATACAGGTGTCTTTCAGGAAAGCAAAGGGGTCCTCACTGTATTACTCATTCACTGTTTATCTTGGGCTGTGCGGATGGGTTTCACTTAGGATGAGACTACTGTGCTAGCCAAAGAAAACCATTCTGGTGAGCTGAATTCAGTTCTTGGGGCACCGATTGGCAGCCTCTGTTGTAGATAGTTACTGACAGGAATAACTGCTGAGTGACAACCATAATGACAAGAAAGACAATTCGATGGGTTTGAAGGGCAACATTCATCTCCACAAACCCAAAGTTCTCTTTCTGGCTGGTTTCACAGCCTTAAATATCAAATTATCAAGCAATATTATTGCCAAACACTTGCCCTCCCCAAAAGTATGAGTGTTTTTTTAAATTATAAATTAGTAAAAAGAATAAATTTTAGAGACTCCATCAGTTTGGAAGTTAACCATTATCTTCTCATGTACTTTTGCTCAGCATACCTAGAAAGGGAAGGGATAAAAAAAATCAGATGAGAAGACAAGGCAGGTATCTTGTAAAACAATGTGATTGCCTTCACTTTTACATGCTTTTCTGTAGTTTGAATGGTCAGTGCAATTTCAAAGCCCTTTTTCTTCATTCTGGGCAACACCCCATCCCTTATTCCTTAAAATGTCTTACCCTTTTTGATACAAGTCGGTACACCTGGCACCCATTTGTTATTGGTATGACACCTAATCACGTGACTGCCATTCATGATGAAGCCAGGATTGCAGGCGACATACACTGTGTCATTGTGGGAATATGAGGAACGAGTTTTGTTGAGCTTGTACCCATGTTTGACTTCTGGGCTAGGGCAGTGAATCACAGGCAGAGATTTTAAGCACTTTGGGGAAGGTCCAGTCCAAGATCCATGTCCTTCAGAATCACTTATGCATCGTATATTTTTCTCTCCCAGAAGAGAGAATCCTTGGTCACATTCATAAGAGACTTCATTTCCATATAGAAAGGGTTCTGCCATCACGCCCCTGGGCCTTCCATGGTCAATCATGGGTGGAGGCTGACAGTGAATTACTGCAGAAGAGATTTAGGAAATTCTGCTTCAGCTAGCACACCAAGGTGGACAGTCTTCAGTCAGGCACAAAGGAAACTAGGCAACTGCTTGTACTGCATGTAACCATACAAGAATTTAGATTTTTAGAACCCAGGTGATACTTCCTTTAAAACAGCGTTATTAAATTATACATACTCATTCCAAAAAAATTCAGAAAACAAAGTATTATGAGAGGAATAAATATAGCTATGTTCCCATAAACTAGAAATAAAGGCCATATATATAGTTTTTTCTTAAATCTTGAGCAGATATATAGTAAACACTCAGTTCCTACTTGACCACTTTTTTTTCCCAGTGCCAGTGCTGACCAAACACGGAAAGATTTGTCTTATGTACAATGAGACAGAACACATAGACTATTGAGGTAGTTATAAGGCTAGTTCTTCAGTGGCCTTCCCTCTCTAACCTCTTACTACCCCAATGACAATTTTTTTTTCTAACTTACCTTTACAAAGTGGAATCTTTTGGAACCAAACCCTATTCTCAGCATCTTGACACTTCTGATAAGTATGTCCTGTCAACCGGTACCTACAGAGAGAATGTAATGCATTTCCTCTTCCCAGTATCACATCTCTGCAACCTAGCTTCCTCAAACCACAGATACAAGGGCACTTCTAAATAAGAGCTTTAGCAGACAAGGAGCTAAAACTCTTGACCCTCCAAGTAAGAAAACTACTTTAGACATAGAGTTTTCCATAGCAAAGTCATTTCCATGTCAAGAAAGGACTGAAAAGTCAGAGAAATTAACTTAATTAGACCTTTGGAACCTCATATTCCCTGTGAGTGTGACAATGAGAGACCTCTAGAGGGAGTCACTAAGACAAGCTGAGGACAGAATTAATGTACAAAATGAGGTGGAGACCCCTTTTCAGAATGGACCATCTCATACTTACCCATCTTGACAGGATATATTGACTGGTATCACATGTGAATGAATGGGAGGCTCTTGAAAATCTCTCACAGGCTGACATGGTGCTTCTAGAAGAGCAAAGTTTGAATTATTTATGCATGCCTGATATCATAGAGAAAAACAACTCTGCAACTGAAAGTACCTTCACACCGAGGGGTAGAAGGACTCCAATTTCCTGAAGGCATACAGTGAATGGATTTGTTTCCCACAAGCAAGTAGCCAGGGTCACAGGTGTAGTCTACAGTCATCCCAGAGACAAAGAGGACCCTATTTCCACCTGTATGCTGACCATGCTGGAGCCCAAAAGGTGGCTGGCAGCCTGAAGAGAAAACTCCCCACATAAATACCAACAAGAAAAAAAGAAATATATACTCAAGAACATTAAGTATACAACATTTGACAGCAGACAATCTGAAACTTTTAAGCCAAAAATTATGAAGCTCTAATTACCAAATGTTTTTTGCTCTTTTGCAGGAACCAGTCACCTTTAAAAAGGTCCTCTCGTAAACCAAGAAACAGACTCTTAACTATAGAGAACAAACTGATGGTTGCCAGAGGAGAGGTGGGTGGGGGATGGGTGAAATACGTGATGGGGATTAAGAAGGGCACTTGTGATGAGCATTGGGTGTTGTATGGAAATGTTGAATCACTAAATTCTGCACCTAAAACTAATATTACACTGTATGTTAACTAAGTGGAATTTAAATAAAAACTTGAAAAAAAATAAAAAGTTCCTCTCATTATCTACCCTGAATATATCCCAAATCCAAGGGGGCATTTACATGAAGAACATACAAAAACACATAGGACATTCCATCACAGAATGGAAGAAATGGGATAGTAATCTGTGCGCCTTTGCCTTTTTCTACAACTCTAGTTTTGGGTTCAAGCTAATAAACAAGAATAAATAAGTAAATACCTCATTTTCCCCCATTGGGTCTTTACCTTTTTCACAAACTGGTATTTCAGGATCCCAGGTGCTATCGGCTTTGCAACGAATCTGATGGCTGCCCTTCAAAATAAATCCATGATTACACTTGAATGTCACACTGTCATTGTAGAAATATGGGGCATCCTTGCCAGATATCTTGTATCCATTTGCAACCTGGGCAGGTGGACACTGAACAGCAGGGAGGAAAAGTTTACAGACAGGGGCAGGCCCACTCCAGGTGCCCCTCTCTTGGTCATTGCTTATACAACGGATGGTGCTCTCCCCAATGAGGTTGAATTCCACTCCGCTTTCTGGCCCAGGGTTGCATGTGTAGGTGACCGTGGTTCCATATAGAATATCTCCTGAGGAACTCCCCGTGTGTTTCCCATTGTAGATGGCAGGAGGTGGTGGGCAGATGATTTCTGGAGAGATGAGAATTTACTGTAGAATTTTGCTCCAGTATTAGACACCAAAGAAGAGAAAATGAAGAGACACCAAAGAAGAGAAGATGAAGTGACACCAAAGAAGAGAAATGAAGACACCAAAGAAGAGAAATGAAGCTGGTTATGAAACTGTTGTTATCAGGTTTCCTGGAAGATATGGATGAATTTTGATGATAAGAGTTAACATCAAAGCTCCTTATGTATGTAAAACTCGATTTAAACAGATATCATAGCAAAGACTTTTCTAATGGAAATCTTTGTTAAAAGTGAACATGTTCATCAGTATCATATTGTGAGGCAGTGAAGTCTAGTAGTAAGTTGGTAGTTATAATCATTGTTTTTTAAAAGAACCAATAAGTGAATAAAAGGCACGGGGAAGGGTAGAATTAAGCTTTTTTGAGTACCATCTTGTGCTGAGGTGATAGGATAGGTTAGCCAAGAATCTCTGTCAATAGAGCATCTACTTTTGACAGGTGATTTTCTCATCTACAAAGTAGGGATAGTACCATTTAATTTTAATAACTTTGAAGTCTGGAGTCTCAGTTTAACTTTCCAGGTAAGAGGCTGGAATTTCCAAGTAGTTACATAAAATTGCCCCAGCTCAAATGAAGCAATAGAAACAGAATCTGAGTTCAGATCCCACACCAATCCCCTCTCTCTCCACTAAACTATAGCGTTCCCCAAATTAAGGATGGTTGCTCATATACTCACTGTCTTCATTATCCTTAAACTGCTAAATCACAAAAGAGAATCAAAAAGTGAATACATTTAAATTGATTGGCATGCTATGAAGTAGAAGGAGGTGACAGCAGAAACACAGCAAAACTGTGCAACTAGAACTGTTGACAAAGTTAATCGAACAGAATCTAATAGTCGTATTCCCATAATATGGCCTCAAACAGAAATCTCCCAGGAAATGGGTACATCTCACAGTTTCAGGTCCTCCATCATTTTTGCTACTCACCTTCACAAAGACGAATCTCCATAAACCAAGGAATCGCTCCTTGGCACTTCTGATAAACACTCCCTCCTAACCGGTACCTAGGGACAAAGAGTCATATCATCTTGCCATCTTGTGACCACTAAGCTAAGCAGAGCTGTTGGTGCAAAGCAGACTCACCACTTTTAGGACAAGAAATAATAGGGACAAATATGTAGACAGCATCGGCACCATCCATTCATCACATAGGCAGCGTTTCCACGCACGCAACAATAGCGCAATCAACCCTTCTGTGAACAGGTGACAAGGAAGGCTCTTTGAGATAAACACAGACAACAGAGCTTGTAGTGTGCCCTGATAAACCAGACCTGGGTCAGGCTGAGACAGCCCTCACTCACCCTTCGTCGCAAGAAGAGTTAACATCTGGTCTAACAAATTGATCCTGGGGTTTCTTAAAGACTTGCTTTTCTATAGGTTCACACTCTGCCACTAAGAAAAGAGACCTGGATGAGAAATCAGCTCAAAGCAACCTCAAAAACATAAAACATCTACATTCAAAGCCTGGCACCTTTGCATTCGGGGGCAGTGGGTGTCCACACCCCCTCAGAGGTACAACGTATGGATTCTTTCCCCACGAGCACATAGCCAGGGTCACAGCTGTACTTTATAGATGTTCCTGGGTCAAAGCGGACCATGTGTCCATCTTCCTTTTGCCCATTGAGGATTGTAGGAGGGGCTTGGCACCCTAAAGGAAAAGAAAAATTTTCTTATATAAACAACAGAAAGAAACAAGCAAAGAAATTATCATTAACGTGTAGCTCGGTTTTGGGTAATTTTACATCAGTGGTTCATCTGTTTTTCATTTCTGCACTTCGGCTGCTGCAGACTTTGTTCAGTTCCTACTCAGGGCTCTAACTCTTCTCCTGTCTCTTCTTTTTTTAAGGAATGCTCTCCTATGTGTTTAATGGGATATATCCCTGGGGTAGGGGCTTTGTTTACTTCCCTTAAAAAAATTACTATTGAAACAACATTTTTTTCCCTAAAGAATGAGGCAACTTAGTGATCCCTAATGCTTTTCCCCCAAGGACACTTCCACAAAATGAAATAACAGTGGAGGGGAGATGTTAAGGAAACCTATATAATTTATATTCACTATACGTAGTATAACTGAGGAGACTAGAAACTGGAAAAGGCCCTGCTTAAATCCATAAGTCCATCCTGTAACACTTCAAAAAAATGAATCAGTAGCATATTCCAATACACCCACCCTTTTCACAGACTGGTGCTGGTGGCTCCCACGTGCCTTGAGCATTACATCGGATTGCCTTGCTGCCCTTCAGGGTGAAGCCATATGAGCAAGCAAATACCACGGTGTCATTATAGGAATATTGGTCTTTCTGCCCAGATGATATTTGGCCTCTTAGGATCTGGGGAGGTGGACACTGAATGGCAGAGCTAGAAAGTTCACAGCTTGGGGCAGGGTGACTCCAGATCCCAGTCTTCTGACTATTGGTGATACAACGGATAGTCTTCTCCCCGGTAAGGATATATCTCACTCCTTTCTCTGGGTCTGGGTCACAGGTGTAAGTAACTGTGCTTCTGTATGGAAAGTTCCCCGAAGAGCTGCCTGTATGTCTTCCATTGAGAATAGAAGGAGGTGGCAGGCAAACAATTTCTAGAGAAATTAGAGAGAAATGACAAAATTGCTGTTGTACTGCAAACAAAGAATGCCTCGGATGTTGCTTGTACCACTGTTCCCTCCTAGGTTCAGGGACAGTGACATGTGAATCTGTAACATATCAATCAAGGCAGCTATAGCAATATAATTTTAAAAGTATGATTTAGGACTTTATTCCTGAGTATATCTACTGGGGTGACCCTTTGATTTCTTCTACTGAATATACAATCCCCTTTCTGTGCCTGGCCTGGTTGGCAAGCCTATAGAGCTTTCAGAGAAAGAAGAGCCTAGGAACCCTGTTTCACTTGAGTAAGCAGAGAGGAAGGAGGTGGCAGAAGGATGCGTCAGTGAAGAACATACCCCTTCCAGATGTGTATGTGAGATCTCTGTATAGTAATGACTGAACCAAAAGCTTTTAGTTAAGCCGAGAATTGACTGTTCTGTTCAAGGACCAGGGAAGTAGCTGCAAACCACAGTTTTCTAACCTACCTTTGCATACTGGCATCCTGGTCCAAGAAGCCCGCTGTCCAGCAATTACACACTGACTGGAAGGTTGGCCTTGTAACCGATACCTGGCAACAGAGGGGGATCTATTCAGGACTATTGAGCAGTGAGTGTTGAGAGCAACAGCCTCCACTTAAAATCCAAGACAAATTCACTTACTTGACGTGTATTAACCCCTTTTAACCCCTTTCATAAGCATTCTCTCTCCCAGCTTCACTGTAGGCTCTCCCCGGATTCTCACAGAGGAACCCTTGGCAGGTGTCATTGGTCACACCATGCACACATAAACCAAATGAATGAAATCTCCAAGGCCCTCCTGACACTCACCCTTCGTTACAGTCAAAGTTCACAGTCGCACCAACCCGAAGACTTGGAGGGCCCTTTATCTGTCCATTGAGAAATGGTCCTGGAGGTTCACACCGTGCTTCTAAGGAGATAAGCCAAAGATGAGCAAATAACAGAATAGCCCAAATTCTTTTTTAAATTAATTAGTTAATTAATTAATTTGAGAGAGAGAACATGAGTTGGGGGAGGGGTCAAAGAGGGGGAGAGAGAGAGAGAGAGAGAATCTCAATCAGGCACCACACTCAGCATGGAGCCCAACTCAGGGCTCGATCTCATGACCCTGAGATCACAACCAGAGCTGAAATCAAGAGTCTGACCTGACGGAGCCACCCAGGTGCCCCAGAATAGCCCAAATTCTTAAAAATCGGTTGTAAATGTAGGTACCTTTACATGTGGGAATAACAGCACTCCACTTTCCCGAAGACAAACATCTAATGGTCTTTTCTCCAACAAGCAAGTAACCAGGTTCACAGGTGTAAGTCACAGATAATCCTGGGGCAAAGGAGCCAACCCTCTCCCCTGTGTGAGATCCATTGGGGATGGTCGGAAGTGGTGGACACTCCTGGGGGAAATCTTTACACACACACAGTAGGAAAAAGGCCATCAGATGATACATCATTCACAATCTAGATTTTGACTTACATAGATCCAAATATATGACATGTGATCTATGGTAACCAGTCATCATTAATTTTCAACTCAGCTTTTCAAAGATCAGACAGGTGTGGCTTAAGTATATACATTTTATACCACAAATAGTACATTTTCATTTTTAGCTACATGAATTATATTTACACTATGAAAAATTTCAATTACCAAAAAAAGTTCATTTTCACCCATACTCTCCTCCTACCCAGAGCCTATTCTCTGCACCAAAAGTAGCATGTTATTATTTAGGGGACCATCCTGCCAGACATTAGTAATATACCTTTTGGGGATCCTATATGTGATACGTATATACAAACATAGTACATATATGTATGTGTTCTTAATACATATTATTCTATGCCTTTTCTTTGCTTAATAATCTGTCTATATTTTTCCATGTCAATACATATAGATCTATCTAAATCTTCCTAAAGGTTTGTTTTCCATGGTCACCCCATTTTGTGACTATCTTAAAATCTTCCCTACCTCCAAGATTATATACATATTTATAGATAGATCCATATTTTTCTAATGATTTGACAGCCTTTTCAACTCAATTGATTTAGAACTGATCAACACTGTTCTTTATTAAGAAAACAGCTAATTTTGATGGTATAATTTTTGTCAAGTATTGCCAGTCCCTGTAATTGTATAATTGAGATTCAGCTTTAGGTTTCAGCAGCAACATAAACCAAACCAAATGATAAGAAAATGAAGAACTTAGAGTGGCCCCTATATTCAAAGTCATGTGATCTGAAATGCTATGCCTTCCTAGGTGGCTTGGACAATAGCGAACCACTTCAAAAAATATTCATTGAGGCTGCAGATCACAGGGCATCATTTCTGCCAGAATAGCCCAATGGCTATTCAAAGATGAGTTTTAAATCCATTGGGTGTATTTTGCCATTAGATCCCACATTTCTTCTCAATTTAACAGTAACTGAGATATATAGTTTAAAACCATCTAATTTCCACATCCCAAACAACTCTGATGCCCATCCTTGTGAGACTTATTCCATTCAATTATTAGGTATGTTCAGTTACATTTTCCCATTATTTTTTGCTCTATTGATGTCTGTTGAATGAATATTTATATCCCTCCAGGACTAAGGAAAAACAAGAAACCATAATTTTCACCCTTTTCCCTCCCCTCCACTCCCACCATTCACACATCCACATTGGTTTTCCTTCAGAATAAAAACTTGATCCGCACAGAAATACAAGTTTCCAGCCTCCCCACTTAGATTTTTGTTTGTTTTTACTCACCACTCTCACAGATTGGTAGTGGTGTTGGCCCCCAGGTTTTATTTGCTTGGCACCAAACAGATTTGTTTCCTTTCATGGTAAAGTTGGTATCACAGGTAAATGTCACAGAATCACCGTGTCTGTATGGTGGTCTAGATCTTTTATCTCTGTATCCTCCTGCTACTATGGGCTCAGGGCAAAGAGAATTTCTATTATAATATTCACATACAGGAGCAGCTTTATCCCAGATTCCTTTCACTTGGTCTTTACTTATACAAAAAAGGATTCTTTCTCCAATGAGGCGGAAGGCACTAGAACAAGTGTACCTTACCACAGTGTTAAGAGGTATGGGACCAGAAGAATAACTATTCCAACCATTTTTGATAGGAGGAGGAGGGTCACAAGAAATCCCTGAAAAGTAAACAAGGAAATATGGGGTCATACTAATCCTCACAATGAAAAGATTTAAATTTAGATGAAAGGTCCAAAAATAGGTCATGTCACTTTTTCAGAAACAGACTTAGAAATGTGTATAATTTACTTCTTACTCATAGTCCGTGCTTATCTCCAACCTCCTAAGTTCTTACCTTTCTCTCAATCTGCAGCAAAAATATCAACTGGTCTATATACACCATCCTGACCAAACAGTAACAATGAAACAGAATTTATTGAAGAGTTTAGAGTCTCATCAATTTTCATAGTGAAACACAAGGCAAAGAGCACATAAGAAGAATCTTAATAATTCATTAATCACATGTGGAGAGGCACCACACACTAATGACATTTGGGCTCAATAGACTTGGTTTCAAATCCCCGCTGTCATTCAATAGCTGTGTGACTAGGCAAGTCTTACCCTCTCTAAGCCTCAATTTCTTTGTCTATAGTATAATTCAAGCTACTTCATAAGGTTACAAGAAGAATCCAGTGAGATAAAAGTACCTGAAAATGACAAGTAGGATACCTGGAACATACTAATTATCTGATGCCTGTTTCAAATATACAACTGGGGCTACAAGTGGTGAGAACACATTTTGTCTTACTACTGAAGATACTGCAGCCTCACTACAGATCCTTTGTTATCCTTTGATGCTGGACCTCTTTGAAAAAGCCCACAGGAAGTGATCAGAGGTTTCAAATAATGACCTCATAGTCTTTATTTACTTGGCCTAATACACATAAAGGATATTGTTATAGCTGTATTGATATATGCACATCTTTCCTGAATGAGTCTCAGAATAAAGGGAAAACTGCCAACATCCAGAACTTCCAGTTGATTTCCATTGAGCTCCAAGAGTTGCTCATCAGGAGAGAAACTTGTATAAGAAGACACAGCCAAACCATTTTAGCACATCAGTGCTACTCAGTTTCAGTAGGGAGAACATTGAGAGCATTTATTTTTATATATATATATAGAATACTTGATACAATATGTAGTCAATTCAATGAATTGAGTTTTGGTCTGCATCCTAGATCATACAGAAGACTGGCATACATATATTCAAAGCACACTTATGAATAAGATGTTATGCATGGGAATACACCAAATATTAGGGCAGAAGATCTATATTTGATTATTTTTGTTTTCTACTCACGTTCACAGACAGGAAACATATTATTCCAGAGTACTCTTATTCCTTCTGAGACACACTGACTAGAAGATTGGCCATTTAATCGGTACCTTAAATAATAAGGGGTTGCAAATCATCACCAGAACAAATCAATTTTCAGCTGCATGGAGTTAATCACTTCTCTCAAGTATGGTATTAACGGCCTGTATTGTTTTTTTTAAATCATTTCTGGCTTAAGGAAAACATCCAAGATTGTGAATCAGCTCAGCTATGTGATGACTTCAGACCAGGTGAAAAGACAGAGAAAAAAATTCCTAATGATCATATTCTCTTTTTTGAATTTGCCCTTTCCTCTTTGGCATCCAAATGTCAAAATTCTCTTGACCATTTAGAAAGAGAAAAACCCTAGTTCCTACTGAAGAAAACATCAAAGACCTTGTTACCTAAGATCACCCCCAAAGAACCCCTCTTACTGAAACCCCATTGTTCTTCATAATAGGAGCCTTAACTTCTGATCCTAAATTTTGCTTTTTCACATGATGAAAAGACAATTCCTAGCTCTCTCTGGCCATGCACAATACATAGAGTTGGAGAAAAATCATAGGGTTTGCTTAGTATTAGAATTATTAGTCATATAAGGCAAAGAAAATAAGAAAAAAATCATAAAGAAAAAAAATTATATCTATATTTAGAAATCATTTTTTGCACTGCTTAGCTATGGGTCATAGGTCTCAATTCAGGCCCTCTACCCTCACACTCACCCCTTATCACAAACAAATGAAACCACTGCCCCAAGCTGGAGATTAGGAGGAGCCACCACACGGCCATTGAGAAGTTGGTTTGGAATGGCATCGCATGATTTTGCTAGGAAAAAAGAGACAAAGCTGGCACATGAAGAGTCAGGAAACAGTTGAGTTTCCTTAAGATGGAATAAAGTTTTAGGCACCTTCACATTCAGGGGCTGCATGACTCCAGGTTCCCAAGGATGTACACTGTATAGGGTTAGTTCCAATGAGGGTGTAGCCAGGGTCACAGCTGTAGGACACTTCCTGTCCAATTGGAAAGAATTGCTTATCCAAGATGTTATAACTACTGTGGTTGATATGTGGAGGTGGTAGACACCCTGAGAAAAGAACAGGACCAAAGGCCTTTTATTTCCGAAATAAGAACTTTCTCTTCTGCAACTTAAGCCAACTTGGGGTTGGAGGGGTGGGATGAAGGTGGTTATGTCAACACTCCTAAGTGTAAGGCAGAGACTCCTTTGGCTGGGGTGGAGGTGGAGTGGGACTAACACGCATTACTTTTTAGATATGATGAACCATGAAACTATCTGCTTTCTCTATCTTGATCTATGCTGTGAAACGTTACACCCACTCATCATTTTCCATTTCATTTAACTAAAAAGTCTTGGATATTCTCTAATTTTGGATATTCTCTAATATTGTAGCCAAGGGAACCTATCTATTGTAATACATTTTTACCACCAAAATGTACCTCTTTCTTCCTGCTATCCCCAAACCAGGTTGATAACATTCCTGAGCCTGTGGGCCTCCCAATGTTGCCAGGTTTTTAGTAAGTCAGACATTTCTTAGTAAGAGTAGGGGAGAAAGGGAGAATGGGGAAGTGACCCAGTCTTAATTCTAGCCTTATTCCATAAAGGCCACATTTTTCAATAAGAGAATGTATAATGTCTACAGTATTTTTAATCAAATTCTGACATCAGCCAATTTCCTCCATTGGCATGGCCAATAGGATTGGGCATTTATTTTATCCTCGTTTAAATAAAATTGAATCATATATATGTTTTGGAAAAAAAATCTCTCATCGTTGGCTCTTTCTTTCTTTCCTTCCTTTATTTCTTTCTTCTTTTTTTGAAGTGTCTTCTAATTTGCCCTACATTAATGCAGATCTTGTACTGACGCAGAATATAGTAAATTTCCTACTTCTTAAAAATTTAGATATTACTTTCAAAGTTTACTTTAAAATTCTTTAACCAGCATGCCCAACTACCTATACTTTCTTTCCCTTCCTCTTCTCATAAGTACCATATATCTATTTCTCTAAAAGTTTCATTTTGTTTCTAGATCCCCAAAGTTTCAACACAACTCACCCTTAAAGCACTTTGGCAGTGGAGGATTCCATCTGCTGTTTAGTTGGCACCATACTACATTGCTGCCTTTCATGGTAAAGCCAGGTTTACACCTAAACATCACAGTATCATTTAAAGAAAATGAACGTCCAAATCCAGATTCCATAATTCCATTTTCAACTTCTGGAATTGGGCATTTGACTGGAGGAATACACTGAGGGGGAGGGCCACTCCAGATGCCAACTCGATTGTCTTTGCTGGTGCAATATATGGACTTCTCACCCAGGAGGTCAAACAGCTTTTTTCCATTTGGTCCAATGTGGCACTTATAAGTTACCACCATTCCATAGAAAAAGTCCTCTCTACTGCTGCTGTAAAAGTCCCCATTGGAAATGGCTGGGGGTGGCTCACAAGGAATAGCTTTTGAGAGGTAGGTGGAAAAAAAGAGAAGGCATTTAAAGGTTATACCTTCTGGGAATTTTGTCTTCACTCTTACAAACCAAACTTCAACTCAGCCAATAATTAATCCAGGTTGTTGAAATTCTGTATCCTCATCTCAAAAATGATTCTAAATAGGAAGTATCAAGGTAGAACAATTCATGGAACTGGCCTGAGGAAAGGTCAAGAAACTTTGATCTGGTCAACATTCCTCCCACCCTCCACACCAAAGTATAGATAAACTGTTATGGGAAATACCTAGGATGGCCAATATTTTGCATAGAATAAAGATGGCAGTGTGTAATCTCATAGCATATTTTAGATTTAAGCACTTATTCACGATGAAATAACTTATCATCAAAGAACAGTAAATCAAAGGAAAGTGTGGTGGGATTGGGAGATACAGTAGAAGAGAAACTACAGCTCTGTACCCAGAACTACCCAAACCAAGTGTAATGCTCCTAGGTGTTCATTTTGATGTGTAAATGCCCAGTTTCCCTCTAGAAGAGGACAAGAGGAATTACATAAGGTGCAATGAAGGAATCCTTTTACTCACATTCACAAAGAGGCATGTCCTTATCCCAGGTTACAATATTGTCTGAGATAATACATGTAGCAGATGAATCACCAATAAGTCGATATCTAAAGACAAAGAGATGAGTGATCATCCCCACCTAGATGGACATTTTAGAAAAGCTTAGTTTTTTTTTATACTGAAAGAATGGCAAAGGATAGAAAATCATGTATGACAAGTAATGGTGATCAACTAAGGACTCATACAAAAAATTCAACAATCTGAAACCAAATTTCTGGTCAGGAATGTTGGCGATTTAAAATCAGAAGAAGAATAGCTCAAATTTCTTTCTCTTCTAGTGGATAATCTTGAAGAGTTTTCTCTGGATCAAATCAGGGTGGTAATTCTCTTTTTGCTTATCTATTTTTAAGGGTAGGTGGCAATTACTTGGATTTCTTTTGAAGAACTTACGGTTTCTGGTTGAAACCACTGTTCTAATACCCATGTATTCTGGAGATGTCTCCTGCCAACTCACCCTTGATCACAAGAATATGTAATTGTTGACCCAATCACGACACTCATGGGTATGAGGACAGAACCATGGAGGAGTTCTCCAGGACTCATACATGATTTACCTATAATGGAGAACAAAACAAAATAGAATTTGGGACTGGGATTTGGGGTATGTTCTGTATTTTATATTAAATACCAACCTGACTGGACTTGCCAACTAGCCTACTTACACTTACTCAAAGACATTTTTGACATTTACAAAACTTCTATCTTCTAAAGGATCAGTTAACTTCAGAACACTATTTGTTTAAAGCATACACTCTATATTTCTGAGCATGGATGCAAATGTTATCAGTGGTCCATCATAATTTATAATCTCTATTTCCCCTTTTTATATTCTGTCAGTTGATGGCATCATTTACCAAGTCTGTGGCTTAAAAACACCTCATAGTCATCACTTCCTTTCTGTAACTCATCTTCTACCCACTGCTCTTCATTCAACTGGTAACCAAATTTTAGTGACTAGATTCCAGAAATCTCTCTCCAAACCAAGTATTTAGTCACTGCTGTAATCTCTGATTGGATCATTGAATAACAAAATTTACCTTTCTAACTTTGGTCTCAATTGGTCTAGTACATCTTCTATACCACCGCACACATTATCTTTCGGAAGCACAAATGTGGCCATGCCCTGTCCTGAATTTAAAAACTTACAGTGACCTACCATTGTTTATTGGGAAAAAAATGCCTGGTCCATAACAATTAAGCTTCAGGCCATTTAATTAACTGCTATTCCCCACCATGTACCTTATACTCCAGCCACATTGAATTATTATTTTTTAATAATTATTTAAGACTTCTTGTTCTTTTGTACCTCTATGCTTTTGAATATGCTCTCTCCTCTGCCCATAATGCTCAGATTTCCCTAATTCTCCAAGACAGCATTTGTTACTTACTTCCCTATGGTCTCATAGAACTTTATCTCTATAAATAAAAGAAATTACATCACAGTACAGCATTTATTTAAAATCCAGTCTTCACAGCTAGTATAGGAGCTCCTTAAATGCAGAGACTAGCTAATTTTTATGTGAATCCCCATCCCTATCATCTAGCCTAATGTTTCACACCTAGTGGTTACTGAAAAATATTTCTTGAATTGAATGGGATAAGAATGAAGTGACACCAGTGTTCTTTGTATACTAACTTTTAATCTCACTCTAACACAGTGTAGAGACCATAGAACAAAGTTAGGAGCTTACAGGATAAACAGGGCTGGCCAGCTGTGATGACTTAACCCCAATACCCAATGTTCTTAGGAATAAAAGAAACATGGAGAACCCAGGAGCCCCCTTAATTTAAGATGATTTACTAATTTGCTGGTCTTTTATCTTAAAAATAATAGATGAGCTCATAGAGATACCCTGATAGACCCAAAGATGCCTCTTTTACAGGTTACTCACGTGTACACAATTGCTGAGCATCTGACCACTTGGAGGTCTTTAGGCAGGTGATAAAGAATGACCTCTTGATGTACCCAGGAAGGCATTCATATTCCCAAGATGTTCCAACAGCAAACTCAGACTGATCACTCTTAATTTTAGGCTTAGCAAAAGGATACCTTGGCAGGGACTTACACTGACCTAGAGATAAAGACCACAGGAATATCAAAACTAGGAGAGGCTAAAACTTCTACTCTGCTTCTGTTTTGTCACCAATTACCCTGACAACTTTGATCTTTAGAAAGTAAACCTAAAATGAGGCAATGTTTTCCGGGACAAAGAAGAGATCTTGCAGTATGGATGCATATACAGAGATATAAGTTCAGAAGTTCAAAGACTTTTCGGGATAGACTTAGAGGAAGAGCTGGAGAAAATAATTTTTTATAAAATTCCATAAAGACCCTGGAGTTGTTCCATCTTCTTACAGGCATATTACAAAAAACTAAAACCTTATAAATAAGAACCTTCCTGGGATAGCACAGGGAACTAAAGTACATTAAGACCCCTAAGCGCAGCACATGTATGATCCTCTAAAGTTATTTTAATGAATTCACATTACTCTGTTAATCATTAAACCTTCTGGTCCTAGCAAGATGAAAATATGTTCACTATTCTTCATTATTTTATTCCATTAATCTAGTAGAATCATATGCCCCCTAAGAGAGCATAGTAAATACTTCTGATGGGTACTAGATAAAAGGAACTAGTCATTTTGAGACAGTTCCTTGTGATTAATAATATTATTATCACTATTAATGAAACAAATATTATCCTTGGAGAGGAGTAAAAAACTGTAACACCCATATACTTGAGGATGTACCTGGAAAAGCCATTTTTTTCTGGGGAAAGGGAGCTTTGAATATCAAATTTATAAATCTCTCTCTTTTTCAAACAAGTTTGAGACAGGTACAGGTGAAAGTCAAAGAATAAACATGAACTAAATGAACAACTGCAACACAGAGCTCCCAAGGTTGCGGCCAGACTCAGCCTTCCTGTAGCCTGACACGTCTGTTGGAGAAGTCATAGACAGGACCTAAGAATAGCCATCACTGTTAGGACACAGATGTTACTGAAGGTGTTCTTCTATTTCTCTCCTCAGCTCCTTTGGTTTTCTTCATTAACGCCGCAAATGTCTCCAAGTGCATACCTATACAAAACAGCAAGACTATAGGGAAAGTAAAGGTTTGACCTCAAAGACGACCAACTTCACGATCCTGGCATTACTTGTGCCAGTTCAGCCTAGTCAAGTGATTTAATCTATAATTGCATAATGTGAATGAGGACAATACCAAATAATTCTCCACAAGCAGGAAGACCAAGTTAAATTTGTAATGGTGAAGTAGCAATGACATGGACTAAGATGGAACCGAGATCTAAAAGCAGCCAGAGTAGAAGGGTACTTTATAATGTTATCCTCTGAGGTGAAAGGAGATAAGAATCATAGTTTCTGGATGAGAAATAATGGGAAAATCTGATCCCCAATAAGACTTGAGACTCTCTCTTTTGGGGGACAACAGTTTCTATTTGTAATGAGTTGCCAAAAATCCAGGTCACAAGAAGAATTTCCATCAGTCGTGTTCTCTTCCATATTAGAGAAAAGTAGGTTAGTCCATGAGCCATTAAGAAATAAAACTTTTCTTAAGGGTCACTGTACCCTCTTCACATCATTCTACAATCAAAAGGAAAAATCAGAGTACATTATGACTGGGTCTAAAATAGAAGACAGTGGTAAGACACTAACATATGCATTCTTCAAACCATGTTAAAAACTGATGAGGCAAAGCAGTTTCTGGAAAACTGGGATACATTTAACTCTATTTGGGGTCCAAGAGGCTTTACCTGGAATGGCTTAGAAATCCATTTGAAATGAATGAAGAATATATAAGATAATAAAAATAAAACTGAAAGGTCAGAAAGCAGATAGGAGGAAAAATTATTATTGAGAATGAGAATTATTATAATCAAATGCCTTAACACTGGGTTTCCTGGCTATTTGATAATTTTTGAATGACAGTTATGCATATTAACCAAGGTACTGTCCCAAACAGGGGAGATATACTGTGAACATTAAAAACAAGGTTCCCACCCTCACTGAATTTATATTCCTATAGAGGGAGACAGACAGAGAGACAAATACCAATAAATAAATGGTAGGTAAAGGAAATAAACAGAATGATGTGTGAAAATGTAATGCACCAGGAGGAGGAAGGGACAGAGAGGCATACGACTTCAGCTATGATGGTTGAGGAGGGCCTATAAAGAGGAGACATTTGAGTTGTGACTGGAGAATAGCCAGTCAGGTGAAACACTGAGTAAAAGCATTTTAGGCAGAAGCCTAACAGCAGGGATGGGTTTGCTGTGCTTTAGGGATAGACAGAAGGCAAGTGTGGCTGGAATGTAGTGATCATACAAATCTAGTGGTAGGAGATCAAGTTAGAAAGCTACAAGGAGGGATCATATTAGACTTCTTAGGCCACAGTAAGAAGCCTAAGTGGAAGTCACCAGAGTGTTAAAGTGGGAGACTCACATGGCTTGATTTACCTTTTAAAGGGAATAGTCTGGCAAGTGAGTGAAGAATGGGCTGGATTTTGTTTTTAGAAGCAGGAAGTACAAATCTGGAGACTATTATAGTAGTTCAGACAAAAAAAATGAGACTTGGACCAAAGGAAGACAGTGAGAAGTGGATGAGTTTGGAATATATTTTAAAAGTAGAATTTAAAACAAAAACTTTTTGTTGTATTGGATGTGGGGGTAAGGAAAAGGCAGGATTTAGTAACATCTTCTAGGCTACTTATAGTGACTTGAGCTACTTGATTGATGGTAATTACCATGTCTTAAAGATGGGAAAGCACCAGTGTGTGTGTGTGTGTGTGTGTGTGTGTGTGTGTTGGGGCATATGCAGAATTGGTTCCATGTTAGAGTTGGTATATTTAATACACTTATTGGGCCCCCACATGGAGATGCAGGAGGGTGGTGGGATATACAAACTTTCCACTCAGGAGGGAGTTCAAGACTACAGATAATAAATGAATCATCAACATATAAACAGTATTTAAAACCATGAGATTGGATGAGATCTCTTAGGAAGAAGGTATAGAGAAAACCAGAGGAGGGCCAGGGCTGAGCCCCAAGACCTAATAATATTTAGAGATAGGGCAAAAGAGACCAAGAGTAATTAGAGAATTACAGAAAACAAAACAGATAAGTGTGGAAGTCAGGAAACAGGAAACCCTGTTTTGGAAGAAGAGAATGAAAATGGTTTCAAGAGAAAAGTACTAGTCAACTTTTGCTGAAAGACTGAGAAGATAAGGAGAGAAAAATGACCATTGGATTTGCCAGCATGAAAGTCAGTAGTAACCTTGCTGAGAGTAGCTTTAGGAGAATGTGGGGGAGAGAAGCCCGTCTGGGGTGGGTTAAGGACATAAAGAAATGTGAGCAAGTAGTGAGTGAGAAGTTTGAGAAGAGGGATGAGAAGGAAGAGAAGAGGGTCATGAGAAATCCCTTGACCACCCCCAATAAATGATGCTCTGGAGCATATTTAACTGCTGGTAGGGATGACTCAACAGAGAGATACAAATGGGTGATTGAAGATGGGATATCTGCAGAAGTAGTCTTTGCCCAGGCAAGACAGGATGGAATGAGACCATAATTCAGAAGGAGGAGTTGACTTTTGTTGGGAGAAAGGATATTTTTCTCCCTGTTACAGGAGTTCTTACTGAACTCCTCACTATGTGCTAGTGTGAGGGATTCATCAGGCAATAAGACAGATAAAGACCTTGCTCTCATGAACTTGTATTCCAATGAGAGAACAAACAACAAAGTAAAACAATAAACAAGGAGATCTCATATGATGATCGGTGCTCTGTGGAAAATAGACCACGGTTGTGTGATGGAGTGTGACCAGGGTTCAGACTACTTCCAGTGAGTCAGAGAAGGGTGGCCAGAGGAGTGAGACCTGAATGTTGAGGAGACAGGCGAGAGATGATATGTAGGAAGGGCACTTCAACAGATGGAACCCCAAGTCTAAACAAATGTGACTGTGTTCAAGGAACAAAAAGAAGGCCAGTGTGGCTGGAGCAGAGGGAGTGAGGGAGGAGAACAAAGAATTTCAGAGAGAGACAGAGACCTATAGTCAAGGTTAAAGAGCATGGATTTTGTTCCAATGTGATGGGAAGCCGTTGACAGGTTTTAAGCAGGGGAGAGAAAGGATCTGATCTCAGATGAAGGTAGATGACTGGTAAATAAGGGAATTCCTATTTAATGATTTTGTTTTCTTAGTGTAGGATGAAGTGATGCTATCAGTCTAGGCAAGAGTGAAATGTAAGAGTGCAGGAAATTAGAATCAGTTTATGCAAATAAACAAAAGGAGGAAAGTGGGAAAGCATTCTGAGAATTTGCTTTCCATATGACTTTGCTCATAGCAGTGTACCCTATAGACACTTGCTTCAGAATCTTCCAGAGTACTTGTTAAACTCAGCTTCCTGGGCCACACCCTAAAGCAGTGAATCTCTGAAGAATGAGATGGAACCCAGGAACCTGCATTTTAAAAGGCACCTCAATTCCTCAAAAAGTTAAAAATAGAACCACCATATAATCCAGCAATTCCACCTCTGGGAATATATTGAAAGGAAATGAAAGCACTAACTCAAAAAGAGATTTGTATCCCCATGTTCACTGCAGCATTATTCACAAGACATGGAAACCACCTAAATGTCCATCGATGGATGAATGGATGGAGAAGTGGTGGTATGTACACGTACAATAGAATATTATTCAGCCATTAAAAATGACAAAGTCCCACCATTTGTGACAACATGTATGGAACTTGAAGGCACTATGATAGATGAAATAAGTTACACAGAGAATGACAAATACTGTACAATCTCACTTATATGTGGGATCTAAAAACAAATAACAAACAAACAAACCAAACCCAGAAAACCACACCAAATTCATAAAGAAAGAGATCAGTTTGTGACTACCAGAGGTGCGATGGTGGGAGGCGAATTGTAGGAAGGTGATCAAAAGGTACAAAGTTCTAGTTATAAGATAAATAAGTACTAGGATAGATGTTCACCATGGTGACAATAGCAAATACTCCTGTATGATATGCAGGAAAGTTAAGAGAATAGATCCAAAGTATTCTTATCACAAGGAGAATTTTTTCTTTTCTTTTTATTGCATCTAAATGAGATGAGGCATGTTAACTAAACCTATTGTGGAAATCATTTCACATTATATGTAAATGAAACCATCATGGTGTACACCTTAAACTTATACAGCAATATATGTCAATTGTTTCTCAATAAAACTGGAAAAATAAATACATTTTGTAAAAGGTATTTCAAGAGTTTGTTAAGCAGCCTCCAAGTCAGGAACTAGCCAAGAGTCAAGGGATGGTCTAGAAAGGGTATATAGTAGAAGCAAAAGTCAGGAGGAGTGTGGGGGCAAAGCATGAGCAAAGGACTATGGGGGATAGTCAGGCAAGAAGATGAACAGTGCATTCATGATTGGAAATAGTGGGGAATCGGAGAGGGTGCATGTTTAGATGGGATCCAACTACAAAAACTTGAAAGGCCAAAGACATTAGATTTTTTTTTTTTTAATCCCACAGGCAGTAGGAAGCAAAGGAGTGGAGAAATGAAAAAGTGTATTTTAAAATTTTGGTTTTCACCATTGGCAAGTTAAAGGCTAGTATCAAGAGTGATCTTTAAGAGAGGAGGTTGTGACACAGGTAATCATAATGCTTACAATTAGAATATTGGTGTAAGAATGCTAAGACAAACGACAGAAGCATATTAGCCAGAACAATTGGAAGGCAGCTATGCTCACCACTATACCACCAACGCTAGCCAGAACAATTGACAGGTAGACCTTATGGTTCATGTGTCGGCAGTGAAGTGACCAGAGGGTGGCTGCACGCTGGTACTGAGAGGGGATGAAGAATTGGCAGGGCTGATAAACTTGGTTTTCAATTGATAATATCAGCTCTAAAACTTAGAAATAGGAATGGAATGCTGATGAGAAGTCAGGTCTCCAACTGTGCCATGCCAACGGGAAAGTTGTGTACAAGCACTTTTCCAACGGAAGTTAATACGTAGGAGAGAGAGATAAAGATACGAGTCTGGGGAAATGTTCAACTAAGAGTCAGGAGAAATTGGGATGCCAGGAAGCAAAGTAAGCTGGAATAGAACCAATGTATCTCTAAAATTAACAAGCTGGGGGTTGCCTGGGTGGCTCAGTCATTTAAGCGTCTGCCTTTGGCTCAGGTCATGATCTCAGGGTCCTGGGATCGAGCCCCGCATAGGGCTCTCTGCTCCATGGGAAGCCTGCTTCTCCCTCTCCTACTCCCCCTGCTTGTGTTCCCTCTCTCGTTGTGACTCTCTCTGTCAAATAAATAAATAAAATCTTTAAAAAAATATGAAATAAATAAAATTAACAAGCTGGGATCATTATACTTAAATGCTGGCTCCACAAAAATGGGTCTATATAGTAGTCTTATGACTGATATTTAGTAATCACAAGGAACACCCCAACTTTCATTTGCCTAATTTCATCTCATATTCAAGGCAGCTCAGAAAGGTGGTAGTGCAGCTTACCACTAGCTTCATTTTACAGACGAAGAAACCAAGGGTCAGGGAGCTACAAGACTTGCCAAGTCACCCAGTTATTGAGATCTGCAGATAGTAAACTTCTTAACTAGGAATTCACTGTATCCTGGAGATAATTAGAAAGTTAGATCCATGTTGTGGCCAAGAGACTCTAGTCTTAACAAACTGCTATACTTCTCTAAAATTAAGCCAATGGGCGGGGGCGCGGGGGGCGGTGTTAATAAACGTTGAATGAGACCTTCTGGAGCCTCTACCATTAAAGGAGGTAAGTAACACGAAGATGACTGTAGTTTTAATTCACATACCAACTTTTTTCTCAATGGCTCCAGGTGTTTCTCATTTAGAATCTCTTTCCCCGCATCACATCAAAGTTCAAAAACCATGAGAACCACGCCTCGGACCAGATATTATTCTTATTCGGGGAAGGCAAGGGGAGGTCTTTGCACACATCACCGGTAGGTTTTGGTTACTTGGCTAGCGTTAGCGCTTGCAGACCTCCGGCAGAGAGCGATGAGCATCTGCTGAGTCCCGGGAGCCGAGAGCCCAGACAGCGCAGAGCGAGTGGTCCCAGCCCCAGGAGGAGCGAGTGAGCACATTCAGGACCAGGAGATCGTGGTGGTGGTGGTGGGGGGGGGGGTCTCCCAAAGCCAGCGGGAGTCTGTCAAGCGTCTGGCACTGACCCAACCTTCTCGCTTATTCTCTCTGCTTTGCATCGCCGCACAGAAGCCGTCACTGCCCCAGACGTGTCCCTACCTCGGTGCTCCCCCTCCCAGCTCACCGAGAACCCCTGGCGCGATGACAGCCAAGAAAACGCAGAGCAGGCCCGCAGCGCCCATGCCCCGGCGGCAGCCCCAGCGGCGGATGCGTTGCGAGACACTCGAGCCTCCTGCAGCTCCGGGACAGGAAGGGCTGAAGCAGGACGCAGCTGAAAGCCAGGGCACAGGGGGCCCTTAAATAGCGTCTGGCACCACGTGCTAGCTTTGCGCGCACACCTGCAGGCTGCCTGGGGCCGGACTCCAGCGCCTGTTAGGTCGGCCCAGGCTCTGAGGCGCCGGCCCGAAGGGGCAAGGGGGCCAGGGGCGGGGCGGAGCAACTGTGACCCGGTCTTTGGCTCTGGCTCTAGCCCTTAGCGCTGTGGCTTTCCAACTTTTTCTACCGCGCAACGTAGTGCATCCACTTTTGTCTCCCTGGAGAAATGAAACAAGTTTCACAAAATAGTACTCACCCTTGCTAATCTATAATGCCCTCTCCTTTCTATTCTATTCTATTCTATTCTATTCTATTCTATTCTATTCTATT